GGTGACTGGGGTAATTGGGATGGGTGTGTCAGAGGCTGGCGCAGGATAGAGCAGGGTTTAGGGCTGTTGTGCATAGGGTCGCTATGAGTCGGAAACGACTCGACGGCACATAACAACATACATGATTAAGTATTATTGTCATGACAGGAGTCCAGAATGAAGAAGGCTGCCTAGTGGAGTAGACTTGGGGGGAGGTATTGTATAAAAATGAAAGAATTTTTCTTTTATTTTTGAAAGAGAAGAGTGAATTGGATGGGAAGGTTGGGCAGGGTGAAAAGTGCAACAATGAATGAATGGAAATCCAAAGTCTCTGTAAACTTTACTCCAACAGGCAACTTGCTTTCATCCTTTCCAGGACAGAACTGTTTATTTCTTCCTAACTTTTCCCTAAAACATCTTCAGAAAAGGCCAACAGGCAGTCAGTCACGGACTTGTTCAATGCACTCCTCCTTGTGGCCCTGTTTTCCCACGTGAATAATTCACGTTTTCCTGAGCATGCTTGTCTTATGAAAATCAAATGCTCAAAAAACAGTACCACACTTTATAGTAAATGGGAAAATATGGAAATAAATCAGCACATTTTAGAAACGTGCACGTTTTGCTTTCTCTTTGCCAACAAGCTTTATATTCTGGCTTCTCGGTGTTTCTACTGGTACACTGGGCTCTGCTGCCTTCCTGGTCCTGTCCCACCACCAGTTCCACAGCCTCCTAACCAGTCTCAGACCCTTTCTATCCTCCCGTAGGCCCTGCCTTGCTCAGCACTAAGTGTGGTCTTTTCACTCCATACACCCAGAAGATTATTATCCTCTGTTGCAAACCCATCAGTAGCTTCTGGTTTAATTTTCATTTGAACAGCTCACCTTGGCCTTTATGGCCTTGCATCATCTTGCCTTGCTCCCTCTGTTCAATCTTTTCTTGCCTCCCTCTTCTTCACTGGGCTAGAGCTACCTGGTCTGCCTACTGTCCCTCCAATTCACCTGTCACAGGGCCTTTGCACTTACTTTTAGTTCTGCCTGTAATGCAAACTCCAGTAAAAGGCAGTTGTTATTGTATTTTGGAAGGACATTCTCCTAAATGGTACAGCACTCTTCTGTCAATATGCTGTGCTGAAGTAACCTGGGGTTGCTGTGATGCTGAACCTTGTGCCATTGGGATGTCAAATGGCATTACGGTTATATGTGGCTAACAGTGTTTGATGAAGCTCCCAGTTTAAGACAGTTTTGGAAGCAGGAGTGACAACCACTTCCTAAACAGCATGCCTCAGGAAACTCTACGAACTATGAGAAACGACAATAGTTATAGAAAGGATTCAGGCCTTTTGTTCATAGGGTTGCTATAAGCCATGTTCAACTTGACAGCAATCAACAACAACAACAACTTCCAGTCAGAGCTCCCCTCAAATACCATCTGCTCAGAGAAGCCTTCTGGGCCTCCTACCTTATACAGTACTAGGGTCAGAGAGAACAAGGAAAATATGGTGACAGAGGTCTGAGGGAGAAACGGGGTGTGGAACCCAAGCAGCAGATAACCAGCAGATGCCAACAATTGACCCACATGGCAGGAACCAATGATGTTCCCTGAGAGTGCTTTCTCTACAAAGGTCATGGGTGTTCAAATGAGCTTAGGAGGTGCAAAAGCTAGAAAAGTAGAAAACAAAGAAGGAGCATCTATTCTCTCTCTGTAAAGGACAGATCCCATCTCCTCTCTCGAGGATGTTTCTTTCTTAATAAAGTTTATTCTGTCTCCAGCACTGCATGCTTTATCTTCACTTTTGCTCCATTCACTTATGAGACCTAGACTGCTAACACACAAAGCCTGGGAGAAACTCTGTTTCTCTAACTGTAGGTCTGAAAAATTCCCAATACTGCCAGAGAATACCCAACATGCTAACATAAAGTACACACTATCCCATAAAAAAGAAGTCAATAGGGAATTCTAGTGGCCTAGTGGCAAGAAGCTGCACTGCAATCCCAGAGGTACATGGTTCAAATCCACCAGATGTTCTGCTGGAAAAGGAGGGGCAATCTCCTGTAACAGATCCAATTTGACGGTACACATATACAAATTAATAAAATTAAAAAATTCTTAAAAAGGAGTCACTATACAAAAACATTTTTCATGGTATTTTTTTTTTACTATGAGAAATTATTAGTGGCTTGTTTACATGATCATTCCCTGTCTCCCCTGACTAGAAGGTTAACTCTTCTTTTTTTCTTTTTTTAAAATTTTATTAATTTTAATGAACATTTACAGAGATTTTGGATTTCCATTCATTCATTGTTGCATTTTTCTCCCTGACCACCCATTCCCCCTGCCTTTGCTCTTCTCTTTGAAAATTAAAAGAAAAATTCTTTCATTGGTATACAATCCCTTCCCCACCCCTGAGTACACTCCTCTCTGCAACCTTCTTTCTGTACTCTTGTCATAAGCATAATACCCAATCATACATCACTTTTAAACTTTTCTCTCCCTCATCTGTTTCAATGCAGTATACATAATTTATCCAATTTTTCTCAGTCTCACCCCAATCCTGATATCAGTCCCGTTCTATAACAGTGGCAGTATGCAGTATTTGTCCTTTTGTGACTGAGATATTTCACTCAGCATAATATCCTCCAGGGTCACCCATTTTGAATACTATTTCATGAGTTCCTTGTTTTTCTATGCAGCATAGTATTCCATTGTGCGAATATACCACAGCTACTCTATCCATTCGTTTGTTGATGGACACTTAGGTTGTTTCCAACTCCTTGCTATTGTGAACAAAGCAACAATAAACATGAGTGTACATATAACTGCCTGGGTGACAGTTAACGATTTCCTTAGGGTATATTCCCAGTAGTGGAATTCTTGGTTCAAATGGTATTTCTATTTGCAACTTTTTGAGAAAGCACCATACAGCCTTCCACAGTGGTTGCACCATTTTACACTCCCACCAACAGTGAATTAGAATGTTAACTCTTTGAAGAGGAAGAACCTTATTTACTACAGGCTCCTTAGTGCCAAAAACCCCAGCTGTAGTCGAGCTGAGTCTGACTTATGGTGACTGAGGGTGTGTTAGAATGCAACTATGACGTGTGAGATTTCTGATGGCTGAGTTTTCAGAAATAGTGCTGCAGGTCTTTCTTTCAAAGCACCTCTAAGAGGACCCACTCCACCCCGTTTAGTTAGCTGACGGATGAGTTTCCCACTCAAGGGCTGCCAGCACAAAACAGGCACTCCACAAATATTTCTGTCAGCCTACCAGATTTTAAAATAAAAGGGTAGGATTTCAGAGACTCTGAGCTTTTCTAATTTAAGTACATATTTAAAAGAAGGTCTTCATTAAGAATCGACACTCCAATAGGTTGTTCTGAGCTCTATAACACTTTTGTGAAGACCTATTCTGGAAAGATCTCAGGAGTGGTGTCCACTTCCTAAACAACATGCCTCTGGAAATTCTATGAACTTTGATAAATGTTGATAGTTGTAGAGGAGCTTCAGGTCTTTTGTTCATAGAGTCGCTATGAGTCACCCTCAACTCGAAGGCAGTCAACAACAACAACAAATTTACAAAAAACTGGAAGACAGGGAATTAGTCCAGATGAGTTATAAGATTAAAACAGTTTTAAATAAGGTGGCAGTAAAAAGTAAATTATGTTTCAGGGATTCTGTCTGGTTTTTAGAAGTGGTTGATATGATAGGGGGGCTTGTGAATAATGTTTATAGACAGTGCACAAGAACAACAGTGAGTGCTGCCTAGAAAACAAGGGAAAGGATGTCTTGGAGACATAGCTACAAACCAATACACAAAAGAACTGCACAGGGAATATTATAAAACTGCATGACCATCCAGTAGAGCTCAGCCATTGGAAGGCTCCGGCCGCAACACAGCTGTTCTTCATCTTTTTGTTGTCCATTTGGCTCATGGTAATCCATCTACAGTTGGATTAGACCATTGCAGTGAGCTTTTCACCGATTGATTTTTTTTGGAAGTACATCGCCAGGCCTTTCCTCTTACTGTCAGCCTGGGTTTTGAATGGGGTCAGTAAGCCACCAAGATCTGCCTCCAAACCATTTGCAATTACAAATCTCCAGGAATTGCCTACTTGTCTACTTTCCCTGCTAGATTATGAGCTTGCTGAGGGTTGGGACCATATCTTACCTATTGCTATGTCCCCAGGATCTTGCCCCGTGCATAGCGAATGTTCACTATAAGTGTTTGTTTGGACGGTACGATAAAAAAGAAATGTACAGTCGAATTTACACTATTTGAGCTCTTAAATTTTATTTAAAGCTTTGATCTAGTGTAGGCAGTTAAACACATAAGCACTTAAGCATATATAGAGTTAAGTTGTTGGGGTTTAGTTCTCAGAAATACCCTTGTGATAGGGAGCTCTGGTGACCTAGTTAGGTAAGGAGTTGTATTCCTATCCTGAAGGCATGTGGTTCAAATCCACTACCTGCACTGCAGGAGAAATAGGGGCAAGAGGAAGATAATCTCCTGTGCAATGTACACCCTCTGAAAGCCCCTGGAGGGTCAGTGGCTCCACCGCAACGTCACACACACAACCCACGCCTTGTCATAGTGGGCAGCTGTACGATAGCTGGTGGGTTTTCTAATCTCAGGTTTTTCATCTATAAAACAAGATAAATTATGGACCACCTCATAAAATTATTTTAAGTGTAAAGTGAGGTAATAATAGATTTAACACAAAGAGCTCTGATAGCATAAACTTTGTAGAGACTGGCACTGCTAACCTAAAGGTGGCCGGTTGAAGTCCACTAGATACTTTGCAGGAGAAAGATGGGAAATTTCCTCCTGTGTGACTTATAACCTCTGTCAACCCACTGGAGGGTCAGCTGTGAGTCAACTGGCTATGATTCGGGTTACAGCACAGTGACACAGAAAGAGTATTTAATAAATATTCACTATCAAAAGCAACAGAGTTGGAAACAACCTAAGTGCCCATCAACAAACAAATGGCTAGAGAAGCTGCACTGAAAAACAAGGAACTCATGAAATAGTATTCAAAATGGGTGACCCTGGAAGACATTATGCTGAGTGAAATATCTCAGTCACAAAAGGACAAATACTGCCATAGTGTCACTGTTGTAAAATGGACTGTCATAGGGGTTGGGGGAGATACTGAGAAAGAGGGCATAAATAATGTATACTGCCTTGAAACAGATGAGGGAGAGAACTGTTTAAAAGGGATATATATGATTATGTATTATTGTCATGACAGGAGTCCAAAATGAAGGCTGCATAGTGGAGTGGACCTGGGGGAAGGGATTGTATAACAATGAAAACATTTTTCTTTTACTTTTCAAAGAGAAGAACGAACTGGAGGGAAGGGGTGAACATGCAGAAAACTGCAACAATGAATGAATGGAAATGCAAAATCTCTATAAATTTTCATTAAAATTATTATTATTATAGAAGAAGAAGAAGAAGGAGGAGGAGGACGAGGAGGAGGAGGAGGAGGAGAAAAGTGCAATGAAGTTCTATCTTTGGATAGAAACAGCCTGGAAACAGAATTATCACTATCCCTCACAAAAAATTCATTTGAAATATTTGCGTATTTTAGAAAATTGTAAAAGCGACATTCCAACGTGTAAGCACCAGGGGGCACTATTCTAAAATCCTACTGAAGCCTGAAGCGGCTGATTAGTTAAAGTTGCAGTAACAATTTCCATTTCCCATCTGCCTCTTTGAGCCCACTGTCTGACACTGTGCTAACCATCTGTGCTACATTTTATCTGTGGCAAAGTATGAACATATTCATTAAATGTAGCTTGAGAAAGTATTTACGATCTTAGAAAGAGGCACCTACAGTTTTTAGACAATCAGTTCTCTCTATCCGTTGCCATCAAGTGCCAAGCAGCTCATAACTGACCCTGCAGTGGGTCTCTAGGATTGTAAATTGTTCAGGAAGTGAGTACCCATTTTCTTCCAAGAGCTTATGGTGTGTTTGAACCACAAGAGGCTCATACCTTCGGGTTAGGAGGACTACAATACCAGAGTTCTTTAGACAAACAGTTAACAAATGAGTTTCTGTTTGCTTGCTTGCTTTAGAAGAATTAGACAGAAGAACAAATTTTCACTTTGCAGGCCTTAAAAATGCTACTAAAACTCCAGCATCCAAACCAAACTGAAGTCATCTATTATATTATCAATGTTTCCCAAAGAAAGGCTACTTAAATCGCTATCCAACACCAAGTGCTAACAGGCCAAGTAGCATCCCTGATGACTGTCTGTGGCAAATACTTCAATACTGATGTTAGTTGGGACACCCTAAAGGGAATTGGCAAGAAGCAGCACATCAGCTGTGTGACAAAGCTTCAAGAATAAGTTAAAAATCACTTAAATGGGTCAGTAATTGCCTTTTTCCCCATACTTGAGTACTGGTCCTTCTTCTGATAAGTAGCGTTGAACTTGCAGTGTTTGTCCGAAGAGACAACCCATCAGAAATTCCTTCCAGCCATCCCAGACGTCCAAGCGAAGAGTTGTGCCTGTAGATCAAGAGAGGGCCCAGTCAATCAGGCAACCCACTAAGCTTCTAAGGATAGAGTCCCCAAACAGAGGCATGAGCTAGATGCAAAATACAAAGCTGCCTTGGAATGAATAAACAGGGATGCTATGTTTAATTTAGATATTTATGATCTTGAAACTGCCACTTGGCTTTTTGCCTCTCAATATTCTCATCTGCACAATGATGGCATATAATGTGGAAATACTTCTACAACTATCTTAAAACAGTCCGATGGACATTGAGTCAATGCTGATGTATGTATGAGTAACTATGCATACAAAGCTGTCGAGCCGCAAGAGAAAACAGTGGCCGTACAAACGTCCTTCTGGGCCTCTGGTTATTAACAGGTTTTGGGTGAAGTTGACTGAGTCTCACTAAGTCATCTTCTGGTTTTATGCTTCATGAGAGAACAGCTGTTATGTATTGTAAACACCAAAGCACTTTAGTGATGCCAGAGACTCTACCAGTAACTCCAGATTCTTGGATCAACAATCAACACACAATCAACACACATGGTATCAAGAGTTAAGAGATCAGGAGACATTGCGTCGGGAAAGTCTGCAGTTAAGGACCTCTCTACACTACCGAGGCGCAATGATGTCAGTTTGAGGCCTATGGTGGGTCTATTCAGGTCATGGTCTTTATGATAATTTGGAATGCATCAGAAAGCTGGACAATGAATAAGGACAAATAAAGAAGAATTTATGCCTGTGAGGTGGTGGAGAAGAGTACCGAACGTCCCATAGACTGCCAAAGGAACAAACAGATAATGTCTTTGAGAAGGTGCAGCCAGAGTGCTTCTTGGAGGCAAAGAGGACAAAGTTTCATCTCATACACATTGGGCATGTTGTTAGGAGAGGTTATTCCTCAGAGAGAGGAATATCATGCTTAGAAAGGTGGAGAGTCAACAAAAGAGAGGAAATTCCCTCATGCGATAGATTAAGGCATCCATCAACAATGGGCAATGCAACAAAGGGCTCAGAGAGGTCAGAAGTTAGGAGGATGGCACAGAATAGAACAGGGTTCAGATCTGTTGCTCATAGGGTCAATATGCATTTTATTCAACTCAATGACACCTAACAGTGATAACAACCATTTCTTCTCAAGGATCATCGGTGGTTCGATGGTAGAATTTTCACTTCCCACGCAGGAAAGTGGAGTTTGTTTCCCGTATTTGAGTCCTGCCCAGTGCACGTCAAGGGCAACCATCCTCCACTTGTGAACGGCTTATGTGTTGTTAGGATGCCGAATAGATTTCAACAGAGCTTCCTGACCAAAACAGACTAGAAAGCAAGCCCTGGCAATCTAATTCTGAAAGTCAGCCAGGAGCACCCCTGTGGAGTGTGGATCCCACGTCCAGCTCTGTTTTGAGTGAGGTAATTGAGTTAGTTCAGCCTGATGGAAGCCAACCACACAGGCAATGGATCCTTCTCACCAGTCAGCTCTCAGTTCAAACGCGTGTCCTCAGAAAGGACGTTCTGGCTGTCATAGTCAAAGGTATCGCTGCTGCTCCTTTTCAGTTATTCTTTATCCCAAGGTCTCTTTTTAACTCCCAATGGTCCCTTATTATCGATACCTAAAAACCATAGGGGTTTTTTTCCACTATTTCACTAGAAGAAACCTTCTTTATGATTTAGCCTTAACTGCCAGCACCAATGATGCTAAATAGCTTCCTTCCTTCCTTC